CTCGGGGATCCAAGACGAAGCCCCGGCTTAGAGAACTAGCCGCGTACGTAAATACGCAAGAGCATACGCAGTTATATCAGCATGCAAAGAGCACGCATAAGTGCCTGAACTTCACGTGCTCGCATGCACCCGCAGCAACGCCCCACTTGGACCTACATCTTCTGAGTGCGACCCTAAACTTTTAAACCCTTAGAACTATCTGCATACGCAAGCCTAGACCAGCAGAAAAGCCAACACTGACTTGCTGATGCCTGCATCATCACTGAACTACAAGGCATGAACTATGCAGAATGCACATGAAGACGCATGCACAGGGGCGGTCGGTGCTTTCGTAGGTTGCTCCGAAGTGTTACACAGCTTGAAGGTTGATATGAGGGGGTATCACATTAGCCGGGGAAGGTTAAAGGTGCACTGAGTACCAAGAGGCTCCATAGTAGTCCCTTTTTATAGTTTATATGTAGAATCCTTCAATCCCCCAATAGGAACTACTATGGAGGCTACGGGTACTTATTGCTGCCTTTTGTGCAGCGTTTCAGTTCATGCCTGGGCTTTGGGCTTTTGGTTAAGAGGTTAAATAGTGTCGGCTTGCAGTTCTTGATGTGGGGTTTGATGTGCGAATGTGAAGTATATATAATATTAGTATTTCTTTATTTGTTGATGTATATATTGCTTGGTTTAGAAATTTCATATTCACCTGAATGATTCATTTGATTGTTCCAAATGCAAGTACGAATGCAATGTAAATACATAGAACCTACGTACAACGAGACATCATAAACAACCCCCCGCCCCAGTGATTAGACCTTCTCTCCTGCAATCCCCGACACCTGCAGGCTAAATTAACCTAAGAATCCCTAGAAACCTCAACACTTAAGGGTTTAGGGTTTGGGGGTTTAGGGTTTTGGGGTTTAGGGTTTTGGGGTTTAGGGTTTTAAGGTTTAGGGTTAAGGGATGAGGGTTGCCCTAAACCCTAAAGCCTAAACACTCCCTAAACCCTAAACCCAAATTCATAAAACCTAGTGAGGGGGTTTGGGTTGCCCGTGCAGGGCGGCGCCTGGAGCAGCATTGGCCCACAGCAGGGCGAGGCGATCTTTGCGCAAAGCGCGGGCACCTAGAGAACCTTGAAACCCTCGACGGTTTCGGGTTTAGGGTTTAGGGTCGGAGCTAAAGTACTAGGACCTACCTAGAGGCTCCAAAGTAGTTCCTTTTTGGGGTTCAGATTTGGAATCCTATAAGGTAATCCCGAAAAGGATCTAATTACTATGGAGCCTCTGGGTAGAGTAGGCGCTTCTTCCATTTTTTGGGGGGTTCAAGTTCCCTTATAAGCCCCTTGAAACCAAAACCGGCACCCTTTCCTAGGCTCCTCGTGGAGCCGCATTCCTAAGTCCGAAATTTTCCGCTAAGGAATAAGCCTTCAACCCTTCACGGGTGTCGGGTTAAGGTTTTAGAGTGACAAAGCATGCGGGCTCTTTGGAGGAAGTGGTAAATTCCCTAGAGCAGTTCTCACAAGACTCCTTGATGAAGGACTATTTCTGGGCCCCAGTGGGCCCAATCTTGTCATTTTTAGATTATAATTTCTCGTGTAGTTCCTGAAAATGTAGATGTTTTGGAGGGTTGAGCTTCATTTTTCAGTCACATTTGGCGTCCTCTGATACAGCTAAGGACTATATACCTTCTTCGCGTTCTTTCCAGGGTTCAGGGTTGAGGATTTAGGTTTTCGGTTTCGTTTTTTCAGGGAATGGAAGAATGGTAGCAACAGTAGTTATAGTTGTACCCCATTCCTCCATTCCGTACTAGCCAAAGGTAAGTTTTGGGAATCAGGGTTCGGGGGGTTTCCGGGGTGATTCATGCACCACGTCCTGGTGGTTTCTTTTGCGGGTGGCAAGCTTGAACCAACCCCTACTCAGTAGTTGGGTTGATAAACTTTAAACTTTCTGCAAAAATGAACCCCTGTCTAAAACTGAAAGTTTAAACTTAAACTTTTTTGGGCTAATGAACTCGGCAACTAAGCCTATGCATGTTCATCTCCGTCATCGGCGGTACTGTGCGCCTCCCTAAACTCCTAAACCCTACCTTAAACTGGCATAACCTACTTCTGTGAAGGTTGTTATATGGTCTTTTTTTTACCCCTGAATAGAGAATTATAAGGAACCTACAAAAAGCAGGTTTGGGAACTCAAGTTAAACTGTTTCCTTCGGATTAACTCGGTACTAGGGAATCCTAAACCCCGGAACTCAAGGTCACTAAACTTGACGCCCTCAAGCTAATGAGCCCCAAAGCACCTGCGTAAGACATCCAAGGGGAGATGAAAATCGACTTGGTCTTACAAAACGTGGCTGCCCAAGGTTTTTGCAGGCGGAGAGAAGCGGGTTTGGGGATCGAGTTCGAGTGGAGGATGTGGGGTCTTGGATTCGGACTGGTAGTTCGCGTCAGGAGAGACTGCTTGAGTTTGTGTAAACCGACGCTGAACATCCAAGAACAGGAACCCTGATCGCGGTTTACAGTCTACCTAGAGGCTCGTACCGCCTACTTTTTAAGATAAGAGATCCTAACCATAAAACTGGGTATGAGCCTCTAGGTAGGGTTTAGGGTTTTAGCGGTCCGGGGTTTGGGGTTTAGGTGCTCAAAAGCAACCCGAAAGGTCCAGTTACTTCAGCAAGTATCAGGTTATTCTATCGTCTCCTTGGAATCATTTTTTGATTTTTGTGCATATAAAAGCCAAGAGACTATTCAAAATCTGATTTTCATTATGGTTCGAAGGGGGGTATAGTATTGAGGTATGGATACTCTCAAGTCTATCTGGGCTCCTTGCGCAAGCCCTGAGAGGCCTAGTGATCTAAGCATTTGGCGAAAAAAAAAGAAGCGACAGTGAGCCAAGGGGAAGCTCATGGGTTCCGCCCTCTGAGTATGATCCCTCTAAGCCTGAAAGAAGAGGAAAGTACTATAGGGTCCTAAATAATTACCAATTCAATGTTATTCGAAGGGGTTTGGCCTAAAGCCCCCTGGTCCCTCTAAACCCTAAGCGCTCATCACAACAACCGGCCAAGGAGAACTGGGTCAAACCTCTCTGCTGCGGCCAGGGCTGGTCCACCGACGCCAAAGGCCAGAAGACTTACCTTTGGTTAGTAGGGAATGGAAGAATGGTAGTAATAGTAGTTATAGTTGTACCCCATTCCTCCAGGTGAGAACAGTGACTAAGAGGCATCTTGAGACTGACAGCTCCCTTTCTCAGCAGAGTAGGTAACCTTCAACCTTTTCGGGTACAAGGTTAACCTTTAGCGCAACTAGGTTTTGATGATGTTCGTATAGAAATCGAAATGATTACCAGTACTATTCCTTAGGGGATCTTTTCCACAACTATACTTAGCTAGATCCCCAAACTCTATTGCAACTGTAAAGGCCCCCATATTGGTGCCTTGAAGTTGAAGGTCATACTGCTTGGAGTCGGCTACGGGTCCCTGGTGTTGTGTTTCCTGCACTCGGCGATTTCGGAGCGCATTTAAACGACTAGAGCAGGGATCCTTCAAAGGCAGCTATAGGAGGAAGAGGAGTAGTAGTAGTAGTAGTAGTAGTAGTAGTAGTCGTGGTGGTGGTGGTGGTAGTAGTAGTAGTACTAGCTGTTGTTGTTGTTGTTGCTGTTGTTGTTGTTGTTGTGGTTGTGGTGGTAGTAGTAGTAGTAGGAGTAGGAGTAGTAGTAGTAGCAGTAGTAGTAGTAGTAGTAGTAGTAGTAGTAGTAGTAGCTGTAGCTGCTGTGGTTGTTGTTGTTGCTGTTGTTTGTTGTTGTTGTTGCTGCTGTTGTTGTTGTTGTGGTGGCTGGTGTTGTTGTTGTGGTAGTAGTAGCAGCAGCAGGAGTAGTAGTAGTTGTTGTTGTCGTAGTAGTAGTAGTAGTAGTAGTAGTAGTAGTAGTAGAAGTAGTAGAAGTAGTGGTAGTAGTAATAGGTAGCAGTAGTAGTCGTCGTCGTAGTAGTAGTAGTTGTTGTGGAAGTAGTAGTAGGAGTAGTAGTAGTAGTAGTAGTAGTAGTAGCAGTAGTAGTAGTAGTAGTCGTAGTAGTAGTCGTAGTCGTAGTCGTAGTAGTAGTAGTAGTAGCAGCAGTAGCAGTAGTAGTAGTAGTAGTAGTAGCAGTAGTAGTAGTGGTAGTAGTAGTAGTAGTAGTAGTAGTAGCAGTCGTAGTAGCAGTACTATTCGTACTAGTAGTTTTAGTAGTACTAGTAATACTAGTAGTACTAGTAGTAGTAGTAGCAGTAGTAGTAGTAGTAGTAGAAGTAGTAGTAGTAGTAGTAGTAGTAGTAGTAGTAGTAGTAGTAGTAGTAGTGGTAGTAGTAGTAGTAGTAGTAGTAGTGGTGGTAGTAGTAATAGGTAGCAGTAGTAGTCGTTGTCGTCGTCGTAGTAGTAGTAGTAGTACAAGTAGTAGCAGCAGTAGTAGGAGTAGTGCAGGTGGCGGTGGTATTAGTAGTCGTAGTAGTAGTTTCGCCACGTTCGGCAATCTGGTAGTTTGCCCCCAGTACTGCAAGCGCACAGAAAAGTGGCAGAGAGAGCAGTCGTCGTAGTCGTCGTTGCGGATCGTCTGGTACTAGTACGAGCGGTGCTAGTAGTCGTCGTAATAGTAATTGTTCTTGCCCCTCCTCCTTTCAAAAAGGGAAGTGGTAGTGATGCCCGTGGCGTTGCCGTATGCATTCTGAGCAGTGTCCTCCAAATCCTGGACCTGCTGCCGCAAGTAGCAGTATACCACCCCCCCCCCCCCCCCCCCACCAAAAATCAACGGGCGTCGCATGGACCTTCCGTTTTTCGGAGTACATGGTGGCCTTTTGCGGCATTCCAGAGTTTGAAGAGCATCACAATGACCACACTGATTTGTGCTTAGCATGCAACCTCATCTCTGATAGAGCCGCCACTGAGAGGTCGCACGGTATGAGACTCGGAGAGTCAACATTTGTCGGCAGAAGCTATTGGGCTCTAGTTGTAGTACATTCCTTGGTTTGCGAAAGCTGGTGGAAAAGCCATGTTGTCGGTGACACCTGGGTTTATCTTCGTGCTCATTTTGTTTCATGTGCCCGAGATCACGGCTCTTCGGGAGTCCGCGGACGAACATGCAAGGTATGTGAAGGACAAACTATCCCCGTCAAATCCACAGTACCGAGATTGGTACAGCCACCCCACTCGTGACGACTGGTACCAGGCCCCGCCCATCCGCTATGTCGACGCGGAGGAACAAGATCAGACAGAGATGATGGACGGCCTCGCTTGCTTCTGCAAGAAGGCATCCCCGCTTTCCAAGATCTAGCAGGTCTACTTTGGATATTGCCCGCCACCATAAGACTAGAAACAAAAGTTGTAGTTGTCGATGTGGCCTTCGGCTCATGATGCACGCCCGGGAGGCGACCTGGTTACGTTGTAGCCGCGGTTGTAAGACCTGTCGATAGTCGCTTCGCTAGTTACCAGCTTTGCTGTCTGTCTGTCAAAAAACAAAAGTTGGATAGTGTGTTACATAATAAGTATACATACATCCTTCAATATTCCGCTGTTCATAGTTCGTTACGGGTTGCGTGCGGGTGCATATGTCCCTTGCCGCAGCCAAGCCTCCTCCTTCAGGTGACGTTGGTGGAGGACTGCCCCTGGGTCAAGGATGACAAGGACCTGGGTTTCGAGTACCATACTTGAATACTTTTTTTGGGGTACCTGTTCCTTAAAGGAACCATTATGAAATAAAAGTCTATACTTTTTTCTCCCTGGTTACTCAAAGTCCAGAGGAGGGCCACAGCGAAGATCCGAGCCGCTTTCGTTGGTATCACAAAGACGAGGAGCTTTGCTGCAAGCTGCACTATACGTTCAGCCTGAAGATGGTCGGCTGGGGCTACCAGGCTGTTCAGTGGTACACTTTTTTACTTTCAGGTTTCTGGGTTCCTATAGCATAAGAAGCTTAAAACAGTGTATAGTTTTTCCCGATGGGTTATTGGACAGCCTAGGCTATCAACGCCAGCAGACGGCGGATTTGTGCGTGTCAGATCTTCGCCCTGCGGCAAGCGACGAATGCTGCCATTTGAAACTATACTGAACTTAGAACCCTAGCAAAAATATAATTTTAGTTGTTTCTTAGGGATTATCATAACCAAAAATTAGAAATTATTTCCAAGTACGCCCAAGGAAAGACGAGGGTGGGTCGATTGGCCTTCGCATTCAACAGTCCAGGGCGTACCTATACTTGGAAGCATACAAGGATTTCACGTTTCCTTGGTCCGGGATTGTTCGCCAGTTCTATCGGAGCGACCCGAAATTTCAGTTGGAGGAAGTCGCCGGTGCGACGGACCACACGGGGAATGCAGTAGACGCCGAGACAGTTCGTGCCTTCCTGCAGAACGCGCAAGATGCAGGTCGCTACCAGCAGGGCTTCGCATGCTCTTACCTCAAGGATGCCCTCCCTAAGCCCTAACGCCTGAGCCCTAGGCCTGGACCTTGTACCCTGAACCCTGACCCCCCGAACCCTAAATCCTCTCTCCCGAACCCTAAATCCTCAAGCCCGAACTCTGAACCTCAAACCCTGCCTCGAGGACACTGACCCTGAGAAGGGGTCCTGCCTTCTCCGGCAGAAGCCGTCGAGTCAATGCTGCTGCCATCAGGATACTGGGTTGCTGTTAAGGGTTGAGGCTTTAGGGTTTAAGTGTTGCGGTTAAGGAAGTTAGAATATAAGCCTGTGGTTTAGATTAGTTAGTTGATTTGGTTAAATTTAGTTGATCAAGCTGATTGATTTAAACTCCTTAACAGCAACCCAGGCCACCATCACAGCCGCCCGTCGCTGCCTGCCAGTAGATGGCGCCCCCAGTGAGACTCATCCCGTTTCCTGGTTTGCTCTTGGGGTTGAGGGTTTAGGGCTTGGGATGGCTTAGGGGTTTAGGGATTTAGGGTTTGCAGGTTTAGGGTTAAAGCTTTGAGAAGATTTTTTGGTCTTGCGTTTTTGTGTTTCTCGAGTACTGGTTTGCGAGCACTGTTGTTTGAACCGCCAGGTTTGGGTGGAAGGGGTGCATGTCGACATCGACAAGCATAACCTCAAGGAGGGTTCAGTCAGCTTTGCGGAGAGTCCTGATGCGAGTGAGACCATTCCTGACTATGCGACCTCTGCCGATCCCGAAGTCGTGGATGATCCCAGCACCGCCACGAACGAGAGCAGCATTGTCTTCACATGGGGTCGTATCGACCAGTGGAACCTAACATGTGATGGAGAGAAGCCAATACCTTGGGTCAGGAGCAAACATCACAGTGCAAGGTATAGTTGTGGAAGCACCAAACACAGCCCGACGGGGCCCTCCACGACCCATTACTGCACTCGTCACTGGACCACCTACCACCAGGAGTACGCCAAGAAGTGTGTGTCGCGCAAGTACACCCGCCTTTGTCCGCCTGGCCACGGCCTCTACGAGAAGCAGTTCCCTCGAGGAACCTGTGCCCATGAGCCATCTGAGACCCAGGTGGATGAGCTTCAGCTTGTGGGCCTCGGTAACTTGAGCTTCATGTGTCCTGAGGAGCATCTTGGTTGAACTTTGCTGCCACTTTAGGAGTAGCTTTTGCGATACTGAGGGTACAAAAATAGTAAAACCCTAAGCCCAAAACCCTTAGCCTTAAACCCTAACCTTCTATCAAGGTAGTAACCCAGAGAGCCCAATACTACCCCTTAATTGAGGAATATAGCTTAAATTTGAAGGTATATACTTTAATGAAGAGGTATTGGGCTCTCTGGGAAAGAGCCGCCTGGGTAGTTGTCAAAATTAAGGTCCCGTTTTGGGTACCCTAAATGTTAGGTGACGTATTATCACAGGGACCCAAAAAGGGGACCATCCCATAATGCCTCTTATATAAGAACCCTTGATAGGACGCTGTTTAAGAACCCTTTCAAGGAACCCTAGTCTAAATGAGGGAACCCTAAACCCTAAACCCTGAGAAAGAGCCACCTAGGTATCGTAGCGGCACACCCGGAGGCCTCCGGTTCGATCCGCTCTGTGAGTGTGCCGAAACATGCTAGCTGCGAGCTTGTTCCCAGAAAGGAGTTTCCGAAAACCAGGGCTCCTTTAAAGGGATCTATAAGGGTTCCTTAAGGGGGATCTATAGGGGTTCTATAAAGGGTTTAGGGTTTAGAGTTTCCGAAAATTTTTGGGTACCTTATTTGGGGGTCCTTATAATCAGGATCCTACTATTTAGGGTACTACATTAGGGTTCCCTGTTTTCGGAAACCCCAATTCCTGTGGTAATTCAGGAATAAGCCTGGGATTCGAGGACGGCAGCACCGCAACGCTTGAGGAAAAGGCAGCCTCCTAGAGATTTTGAAAAATTCCTTAACTAAGCTCTAAGGCTCTTGGGTAGTTTGTTAGTTTGCTGTTTTTTTGTTTAATGGCTTGTTTTAGAGGGATCTCCCAAAATTAGTTTGCCTACTTTCTAGGAGGAATAGAGAGTAAGGGTTTCCTATCAAGGATTCGTTTACTGTAAGTGCTTGCTGGCTTGGAAGGAGGTTTTTGCAGCTACCGTCAGGCAGTCCTCCGGAAACCCTACGCTTTATCGGGCCTAGGGTTGAGGGCTTAGGTTTAGGGTTTAGGGTTTAGGGTTAAGGGTTTAGGGTTTAGGGTGTCTCGCCGCGCAGCGGCAGTATTTTCTATGTAGGATGGCGCCCCAACACTCCCAGGGGTGTGGGGGGGCGGCATATCGACTTCTAGCGTTCGAATGCGATTCCACCACCAAACAATTACACATTGGTTCCTCACCTTTTCCCACCCGCTGTGAGAATACACAGGCTACCACCCAAAACATTGCCTTTTAGGGTTTAGCGCTTACGCCCTCAATTCCCACCTGCTGGTCTGTCTTACCTACACACGCCACAAAACAGATAAGGTCAGGGCCAATGGCAAGGGCCAGGGGAGGGCCAAGGGGGGCCAGGGGGGGCCAGGGGGGGCCAGGGAGGGCCAGGGGGGGGGTCAGGGGGTCTTAGGGGGCCGCAGGCGAGCAGAAAGCCAAGGAAGGGCAGAAAACGCCAGGTCTCCCCCTAGGACCCGCCAGGAGCCCCCCGGGTCCCTGGAATCTGCCAGCTGAGGGGGCCCCTGGGCCGGCCTCTGGGGCCTTTTCTGAGGGGAGCCAAATGGCACCAAGCGATTTGGTCGTGGGGTTTAGGGTGTTTTAATCTCTTGAGATTCGAGGGAATTCCCTCTGCGAATATGGGCGCCACGCAAGGGGCCTAATGGCTTGGCTCAGCCCTAGGGGCTGAATTCGACCACTCTCCAATGGCTCCACCCATTGTCCATCCAGAGTTGGTGTCAATCACTGCCGGATTTCCTTCTTGGGTCCAAGCACCCTAAGAAAAAGGGTGGGTACGGCCTAAGCAGGCCTGGGTGGGAATTTAGGGTTTAAACCCAAACCCTAAAACCCTATATGACCACTAGCAGATCTAAGCACAGTGCTATAGGGGTTCCGTATGTGGCTAGGGGCAGCTTTGGCCATTTACGGCCCAAAACTCACAGGCCTAAACCAGTGAGTCCAAGGGAACCCCAAACAAAGCCTCACTCCTAAACCTTAACCCAGAGCTCCATTCCCTAAATGTACATTCGCGTTTTGTTCTCTCCCTCCCTCCATGCCTTGTCAGTGAGCCGCCCCAAAGTGGCTCCTCAACGCCCTGTGGATGAACTACATGATCCAGCGGGGCAATAGCAATAAGAGTAGCCCCAGGTGACCGACTTGTCTTCAGCCCTAAGCCCGAAATCCTAAACCCTAAGACACATCGGGCCAACTCCCAAAGTCAAGATCCTGCAATCCCAAACCCCAAACCCTTCACCTCCCAAAACACTAAGCCCTAAACGCCAAAAGCCGAAACCCTAAACACCAAGAGCCGAAACCCTAAACGCCTAAACCCTAAACCCCGAAAGTTTCCTTGTAGAACCCTAAACACCAAAAGCCGACTCCCCCAAACCCTGAAAGATCTTGAAAGCAGGTGGCGTGGGTGCACACGATAATGGGTCCGGAGCCTCAGTGGCCTCCTGGGTTTGGGGATTTTGGGGTTTAGGGTTTAGGGTTCAAGGGTTTAGGGTTCAAGGGTTTAGGGTTTAGGGTTTAGGGGATTTTGGGGTTTAGGGTTTAGGGTTCAAGGGTTTAGGGTTTAGGTTAGCTCGTACATGTTGAATGCTAAGTGGGTTTAGGTTTCTCGAACTTCGAGGGACCTTGGGTTAGGGTTGGGGTTAACCCGAACCCCAAATCTCAGTTTGAAGTTGGGGGGTTAACCTGAACTCCAAACCAGGTTTAGAGTTGGGGGTAAAAGGTTGTAACTTTGGGATTCTTACAGGTTTAGGATTAGGGCCAGCAGTTCTGAAGGGATCTTTAAAAGCGTGCCTCTGGGAGTTCTTATGCAGGGTACTAGGGATACTGTAGGGCTTCGCGTTAGGCTTCGGGATCCAGTGCTTCTTAACGTTTTTGAGTGTCTGCAGGTGGGTTTTGGGCTTGCTGCCGACTGAAAGAGGTGTATTTGTCGGATGTTTTAACGTGAGCTGCAGGCTTGTACATTTTAGGGTTTGGGGTCTGTTGGTCAAGGTTTAGAACAAAGGAATACAACGTTACTTGGGTTACGGTCCAACTGAAGGGTATCATTGCGGTACCATGGCATAGGGTATGGAGGTGTTGTTGAAACTGAGAGGGGGACATCATGCATGTAGTAGTCCTATGATCCCGAACCTCAGCAGAGTTGGGGACCTAAGTAAGTAGGCACTGAGACTGAGAAGAGTTATAAGTATCCGAAACAAGATCCTGATTTGTTTTGTGATACTTACAACTCTGATAGCATAGCTACCTACTAAGTCCCCCGACTCTTCATAACTACAATTTCAAGTCGCCGATCACCATATAAAAGGCAATCTAAAGGCGACTTTCGATGAAGAGCCCCAAGCAAACACCGAAGCCCGATAGAACCGTCATCGAATCCTTGTATCACCCGTATAGAACCCCGTAAAAAGAGCCCTGTGTAATAAGCCCTTCGACTGCACAGAGGATCTGCTGGGCGAACGGCGTGCAGGGCTTTCGCGAGTATGCGATCTGCTGCCATGGAAGGTGTGCTCGGAGCTGTAGGATGTTGTGGATTTGGGCTTCGGAATCATGGTGTAGAGTAGAGAGTTCAGGAGCTAGAACTGGGGTTCTTGTTGAGGCTTGTCGCGCTTTCGCTAGACCGTACACGGAAATCGGCTGAAGAGCCCAATACCCCTTGGTAAAACAATGCTGCGTCTATAGCATTCACGTATCATCCCAGGAATACTCCTTGACATTCAGGGGGTCGTGAGCTATCCGAGAACTTGCGTTTTCAACAACTATGTACACCCTCACTCATAAACCCCATAGGCCCTAGACCCTCTAAGCCTTACGGGCCCTCAACCCCCTTTCTTCTGACTGTGGGCTTTTCCAGGCTTCGCCAGCTCGCAGCAGCCCCTCGGCACTCTCAGGTTTGGTTTCGGGCGTATCGAGAGTCATGAAGAAGATAAAGCTCACGCTCTACATGCTACTGCAAGTCCCTAAACCCCTTAACCCTAAACCCCGAAACCCCAGGGGCTACTGCACTTTAAAAAACAAACCCTAAACCCTAAACCCCCCTAAACCCTAAACCCTAAACCCCCCCTAAAGCCTAAACCCTAAACCCCCCTAAACCCTAAACCCTAAACCCTAAACCCCCCTAAACCCGGCCCAGCCGGAAGTCCTAAATCCCAAGCCCTCCAGATCCGACTTCTTCGATCGTGGCCCTGAACGCTAAGCCCGAAACTGTAAATCCGAAACCCTAACTACATAGGGGTACTTTGAAATATTTTTAAAATTTTTGGTTATTCTAATCCCTAAGATACCGCTAAAATTTATAATTTTTGCTAGGGTTCTAAGTTCAGTATAGTAACTAGGATGCCCAGTAGTACCCTCTATTCCCTCTTTCGTAGTCCTAGGTTCCTTATAGAGTTACCCAACACCAAAACGGGAGCCCTTTTTTTATTCCTAGGTTACTGGGCATCCTTGCTAACTGCCAAAAACCGTAGACCCCGACGGCTCAGATATAAGGCTCAGACCCTATAAGCCCTACGATTCTGAGCCCTGAATCCTCGACTAAACCGTTATGATAGATAGACCCGACCCTTGCAATAACCTCCTCAGAAATCCTTTGAGTTACATGTGCCGAGCCGTTATACCCTACACAGCCGTTCTACCCTAAACCTTGACCCGACGTGCTAAACCCCGGAACCCCAAACTCTCAACCGTTAGAGTAACCCTCATGGAACCCGTATGCCATTATGCCCTAAAACTCCATATACACCCCTCAACCCTAAATCCCTAGACCCTAAACCCTAAATCCTAAACCCCTAAACCCTAAACCCTAAATTCCCAGACCCTAAACCCTAAACCCCTCCCCTAAACCCTAAACCCCCCTCAGCCCTACACCCTAAACCCTACCTATAGTCTCCATTGTAGTTCCTTTTTGTGGTTTAACCAATTATATTTTAAGGATCCTATATCATAGCTATAAGGTAACCCCCAAGAGGAACTACAATGGAGACTATAGGTTAGAAGGGGCCCCCACCCTGTAATAGTGGTATAGGGCCCGAATATAATCCTTATAGTCACTATCCTTAAATCCTAAACCCCTAAGCCCTAAACCCTAAATCCCCAGACCCTAAACCCCTCACCCCTAAACCCTAAACCCCCCTCAGCCCTACACCCTAAATCCTAAATCCCTAAATCCCTACGCGGTGGCTCGAGGCCCGAGCACCTCCCTGGATGGCCGCAGAGATTCGCAGCGACTTGTTTACTAGGATGCCCAGTAGTACCCTTATTCCCTTTTTGTAGTCCTAGGTTCCTTATAAAGTTACCCAATACCAAAAAGAGAGGCCTTTTCATTCTTAGGTTGCTGGGTATCCTAGTTTAGTTTCAGGGGTCACTGTAAGGGATCCTGAAAAGGGTTTGGGGCTTTTGTTTGGGGTTTAGGGTTTAGGGTGTAAGGGATCCTGAAAAGGGTTTGGTTTA